CAAAATGCGCACACATCGTACGATACAACACCTTCGCCGAGAAAGGAACAAATCGATTCGCACGCTCTTGCAGCATTTTTTCCTTGTTGGAATTCGTAAAGAATGCAGCGTCGGATATGCACCTTATCTGTTGCCATTTTCGACTGTACTGAACTGAATACTTTCGAAGATTATGTTGGGCCTTTCGCCAAACTATATATTCTTTTTAATAGCTATATGTCAACATTGCATAATCACAAAAGAGCGGGAAAATCTATTCAGTTTAAAATTGATTTCATAACTGCTTAAAATAATTTGGATTATTCATTTGTACACCTAATAGTTTCTTTTTCGAAGGGTGGTTTTATCCCCTCAAACTGGGATTCTACACGAACAGAAAATAGTTTGTATTACGAATGGACTACTTTACTTCTATACAAAGTTTCAGAATTTTTTTAATTTTTGCGTTCCCTATGTCTTCTTGTTAGTGAGGGACAGTTTCGATGATTTCCTTGTTAACATATATATGTTCAATAGTTTTACATACCTTTTCTAGATCAACTACATTAATGGTGGGAATATAAGTATATTGCATTGCATTATGCAGATAAACCATACAGTTGATTATAAAGAAACGTATAAAATATATAGAGTCAATCCCTGTATGTGTATAATTTACATGAAGAACCTTTTCGTAATTTCTCCGAACGGAAAAGTGTAGCATGATATTTCGTATTACAGATTTCGTATCATTTTCATCTTTGCTTGATATATGGTCACACAAAGTGCTGATTATTACCAAACTCAACAAAGCGATAAGTAGAGCACTGAAAAATTATTTGAAGTTACATATAAAATATAATTTTTTTACGTTTGTGATGAGTAAAATTTACCACCAAATTCCAGTGCCAAAAGTAAATTTTGGTCCTTCGTTGACTGTGTAACAAGAATTAGGTTGTACACTTATCAGCAATTCAATATTTTTACTCTCTCCAAGTTTTTCTAAAGGTATTCTCAAGGCTGTTTCTATATTTTCCGCACTGCAGGTCGCCGGTACACACAAAGCTAGTTGTAAATGATTTCTACGTACATATGGGGGACTGTCCAATTGCTAAGTGCAAAAGTATTAATAAGTAAACAATCAGTTAATTCCTTGAATAATGTGCCGTAAACAAAACATTTATTACAACGGAGAAAATGAGAAAATTATGCGACATGGCGATGTTTATACGATATTTAAGTTTGTTCCTTTCTTCTTTTTCAATTTAAATTAAACACTTAATTCTGCGATTAAAGATATTAAATTGTAATTGAGAAATTCGATTTCCAGTTGTCCATTTAAAGTAAAAATAAGAAATAGCACTATCGGTCATGACTACATTGAACCTTCTAACTTTTGTTTTGAACATTGTTTCACGTGTTTCAAGTATCTTTGTCATGTCAGATGTATTTCTTACATTATCATTATATAAATATCATTACATGAAACCTTCTGTCAGATGTTTCGTGAATATTTTAATTCACATATTTTAAATTCAGATATTTATTTCGAATATTATAATAGGACACTATGCAAGGTGTCCGGTAATCAGCTGCCAACCCGAAATGTGAAAGTAGATTGGATTAAGACAAGCATAAAAGTCCCATACCGTTTTGCGAGATTTGCAATAATTATCGAGTTATTAATGACGTGAAAAAAGTTAGCCCCCCACTTTTGAGATAACAAAGAATTGAATGTTGTGTTGAATTGTGCTAGGTTTGTGCTACATTGTGCCAGAATAATAAAGTTGAAATTTAAAAAATATGCTCAAAAAATGAAAAAACCGATTTTTTTGCTAGCCCCGCACTTTTTGATTTTTGAAATTTTAAGACCTGTGATAAGTTGTGCTAGGTTGTGCTAACATTGTGCCAAAACATTACTTAAAAATTACAACAAGAAAAGTTATGATAAAAAACAATTTCGAGCGAAAAACACAAATATGACGATTATTTTGCTCCCTGTTAACAATAGCGCGTATAATTATAAATCTTAACTGTGCTAGCCTAGCACAACTCAGCACAACCTGCAGTTTCGCCAGCACAATAATACAAAGAGTACTTTACTCTTGAAGTCGCCCTTGAAACCATTGAAAGTTCAAAAAGTCTGCTTCTAGTTATTGTGTGGGCATAATATTGCATATCTGAATTGTACGAGGCCAGCACAACTCAGCACAACCCGCAATTTCGCCAGCACAACGACTCAAAGGGTACTTTACTCTTGAGCGGTCCTACGTGAAACCACAAAAAATGAAATGATCGAGCGAGCCCGCGAAGCTCGATCGGGATTATGAGGAGGGTCTCGTTCGAAGAGATTAAAAGGAAATCAAGAACGACACATAATACTAGGGCCCGCTGAATTACCACGTCTTCAGATGCTCTACTGCTTCAAATCTCCCTCTCTCACGCGGTCCTAGCCGGACCGTCTACCCGGCATGCCTTTATTTTTTTAGAGAAAGCGGCAAATTCAAGAGAGAGTTTTATGATTTTATCAGAAACATACTCAAGTAATCGGGTGGGCTTTTTAATCACTTCGAACCCTCCTCATAATCCCGATCGAGCTTCGCGGGCTCGCTCGATCATTCCATTATAAATCGGGCCTCGTTCTCGAGATTAAAAGAAAATCGAGAATGACACGTAGATGTTCAGAACCTTTGCGTTCAGTTCTCGATTTTTGATATTCCTCAACTAGATCAGTTATACATTGTTAATTTTTCTTTGACCATAACTCCTTAACGAAGAATGTATATCTCAATATATTCATGTACACATATCTGTTTTTATAAAATTTAAAAAGAAACAGAAACTGATTGAATATAAAAGGCCAGAATATCACTAACGCAACTAACTGCAAAACAGGTAATCGATATAACGTATCTCTTCACCTAGTATTATGTTCATAAAAACAAAAATAGCCATTCTTATGTAACATTTCGGGACAATACCGCCCTTACAAAGTCATATTTGTTACAAACAATAGGTTTATTATAAAATCTATTAAATGTATTTGATTTTTCTGACCAACCTGCCAGGTCCTTAATTAACGCAACATTTACACCCTTCTTGAATACAGCCGACGTATGAATACACTTGCATGCCGGATACTATGTGGGGCAAACCCCACATCTATTCCAGCTTTACTTAAACATCTCCGCAATCAATTACTAATTGTGTCTCTTGATACGGCTTTGAACGGTTTTGTCGTAGTAATAAACAAGGATGTAACTTTTTTTCTTATTTCTTTTGTGACCTCCAAGTAATGCTCCATGGTGCTAGCGACACAAAGTTTCGATATATCTTTAAATCTGAGAAGTAGTAAATATGGTTGGTAAGTACGAGAAGTCTTAATTCTCTCCGCGATTTTGATTTCAATTCCCATCGGCGTTATTGATATGTTTTCTAACTTAATTAGAGACAACGTTTGTTTTCTGTGTGCTGTTACAATCGCCAAGAGGATTGATAATCTAAGAGTAAGCTTCATTAAAGTTAGCTCCTCTAATGGATATAATTCTTCAATAAAATGCAAAACCGGATCCAAATCATGTATTTGATCGTAACGTGGCTTGTTAGGCATAGCATAGAGAAATGGCTCAATGAATGGATCGCTTTGAAAGACGAATCGTTTTTCCGTCACGGAATGCAACAACTGCCAGACAGATGGGAAAAATAATAGCAAGTGATGGCAAATACTTTGATTAGTGAACTTTTTCATGTTTTTTTATATTAAAGTCTTTTTTTGGAAGAATAAACGGACTGAATTAATTCACACACCTAATAACTCAGCGGGTCCTAGCGGTACTACGTGTCGTTCTCGATTTCCTTTTAATTTCGAGAACGAGACCCGACTTATAATTCGATGAAACCACTAAAAGTTCAAAAAGTCTACTTCTAGTTATTGTGTGGGCATAATATTGCATATCTGGGTTGTGCTAGGTTAGCACAACTCAAATATTATGCCCACACAATAACTAGAAGCAGACTTTTTAAACTTTCAATGATTTCACGAAGGGCGGCTTCAAGAGTAAAGTATCCTTTATATCGTTGTGCTGGCGAAACTGCTGGTTGTGCTGAGTTGTGCTAGCCTAGCACAACTCAGATATGCAATATTATGCCCACACAATAACTAGCACAATGTTAGCATAACCTAGCACAAGTCTTAAAATTTCGAAAATCAGAAAGTGGGGGCTAGCAAAAAAATCGTTTTTTTAATTTTTTGAGCGTATTTTTAAAATTTCAACTTTTTTATTCTGGCACAATGTAGCGCAAACCTAGCACAATTCAGCACAACATTCAAATCTTTGTTATTTTAAAAGTGGGGGGCTAACTTTTTTCATGCTTATTAATGACAGAAATCTTAGGAGTAGGTGCACGTTGACATAGATGATTGGATAAGCGTTGCAGCTGCTTAGGCCACAGCGCGGCCATGTCGATCCAGAAACTGTTGCCGGTGCGCGGCGAGGAGAAGGACAACGCGCCGCTATTCGTTAATTTATCTCGCCGCAAGCCGCCAATAGTTGCTGGGTCGACTGGGCCGCACTGTATCCCGAGAGGCTACAACGCTTTTCCAATCATCCATCTCAGCGCGCACTCATTCGTCAGATTTTTGTAATTAATAACTCGATAATTATTGCGAATCTCGCAAAACAGTATGGGACTTTTATGTTTATCTTAAACCAATCTATCTTCACACTTTGAGTTGACAGCTAATTACCGGACACCCTGTATAATTATTGACCCTATGATTCTTGCATCATCCATGTATCTTACATCATCTGAATTGCTTAAAATATATATAATACTTTCAAAATATATTAAAATCTGAATATAGTAATTATTCTTAATATGTATAGTTTATAATTATATCAATACACTGATGTAATTTATAATTACATTACCTTTCTAAAATAATTCTGTTCCATCACTTGGATCTCTGCGTAATTTTAATGTTTCCGATATAAAATTTGTTAAAAACGTTACAAACATACCTCTAATAATTTCCAAAAAGAATTGGTTATGTCCAACGAATTGTTCATGTATTGTGTTTTTAATGATTTTTGTTGGACCGATGTAGTTTGCTTCTTTTTATATATAATATCGATTAAGCAATATTTTCCATTAATTTCATGATCATCGGTACCTTCTTTTATGATATTAACTTGTATGTTGTAACATTCATCGAAATTTCCTAGATGTCTTGTATGTCCGTAGAGTATACCATCCGGATATTTTGTAGAAGAGTCAAACACTGAAGTAAAATTTAATAGAATATCAAGAGATATGTGAAAGCGCTCACACACATATGTACATTGCAAAATATATCAATATTAATCTAATAAATGTTGGGAATTTTAGCATCAGATTGGCAACAGATACGAGGTCAGATACAAGATGTCAGAATGAAAGCGAACTAAGCCTATAAAAAGTATAATACTTTTTCAATCTAAATTTGGTCTATATTTCTTTTAAAATAGTTTTCTTCTGCGTATATATATAATATAACAATATCATTACTTCTCAAACACTTCTTCGAATTTTTTTTTTATAGCCTTAACACTCTTGCGATTCGGACTGGATCTTGTCGATGATGCTAAAACGCTATCTCTTGAGCTTTAACTCCATTTTAGGAAATAAAAAGAAATCACGAAAGACGAAATCCGGCGAATGAAGAGAATATAAGACGACCGCCATGGTTTTTTCCTTTACCATAAACTCCTGCGATTTGAAACTGGCTTTTGCACTATGACAATGCTTTCGTGTAGGCGGGACCATTGTCACGGTGTAAAAGCCACTTTTTTGCGCTGCATTTTCGGCCTTTTGCGACATACGTCCTCATGTAATCTTCTAAAGATATCGCAATAAAAATCTGCATTCCCTGAGTCGCCAGAGATGCTTAATACTACACAGTTAAAAACGTTTCTTATTTTTGTTAAAATTTTGTGTATAGAAAGTTTTATGTTAAGTTATTTACACAGTCATATATTAATTTAACATATCGTTGTTGTGTTACTTAGACTTTCTTGTGTTAAATTAAGATTAACTATTGTCAAGTTTAAAAATAATATTTTTAAGTGTTAAAATATCGCAATTTATATGTAAATTAAATACATGAATTTTTGCTGCGATATATTTTACATGTTAAAATCAACATCTAAAATATGTTACTTTCCTCATTATAACAGTTATCATGTGTTATATTATATAAATATTGGATTTTTAACACATAGATTATGTCAATCTAACATTTTCATTTCATCAAATCATAGATCATTACTTTTTCCAAATGTTGAAGTAACATTCATTGTATGTCAATTTAACACAAACTGTGATTCTAGACAGCATTCAAATGCTAAATTTTTGTGTTAATTTTTTACATATTATGCATGTTATTTTTTAATATTTGCTGTATATTAACCCTTTAACTGCTGAGATATTAAATGACTATTATGACCCTCTTTGCTGAGTTATTTTTACAATTATAAAATATTTTATAATGATATAAGATCATGCAAAAATGTACACATATACCGGTTCTCTTTTCTTTTTCTTTGTGCCAATGTAGTATTTGAACATACATGACAATGCCTAGTGGCATTGTAGCAAGGTCGCCATTTATTTCCACACTCGAGTCATCTCGACCGTAGCAGTTAAAGGGTTAAATTAACACATAAATGAGAGTGGATGATTTGAGACACATGAAATATGTTAACACATCATTTCTTACAGTGTATTTTGAGGGAAATATAGATCAAATTTAGGTCAGAAAAGTAAGCCTATAAAAAGGCTTAGTCCGGTTACATTTTAATATCACCTGATGTCGTACGATCGGAATACTATGACAGATCAGTAACTATCTATGTCCATGTAAATCGTGTGCTGACAGAGCATGTACTGATATAACTTATCAGCAAACTGGCGATAGAAATCGAGCAGTGTTTGTGATACATTCCATTTGAATATTTTTTAATGGTTATGAAACGTCAGCTCCTGCTGAATTTCTGCCGTCAATCTGTCACCATACTTTGCTAGCGGATAAGTACTTTTGATGAGCTTTTTGCTACTAATCTGCTACTAATTTGCTACTAACCTGCCTGAAAAAATTTTGAGCAGACATAACACAAAGTCTGCTTGATTTGGCTACCCAGGAATACAATTTTTAAACTGTACTTTACAAAGTATTTACGCATTAATATTCACGGTCACATGTCAATAATGTGCACAAGCAGAGCATTTGGGACACTAAATCGATTTATTAGAACTTATATGAATTAAATAAATTTGAATCTTTTCGTGTTTTAATTCAGTTTTAACATTGATATTGGTACTTTCTACACGTTATTTTACAAAGAAAGCTAATTGACATATAGTTTAAAAAAACAATATCAAATACTATTGCATTTTTCTAGTGTTTTAATTCGTAAAATATATTATAATTTATATAAACATACTTTGCGCAGCCCATAGAGAATCGTTAAGTAGGTCATCCAAAAATCTCCGTGCATCTTCCTTGCATGGTCCAGCCGGCAAATATTCTGATGTTGCAAAAATAATTGATAAAAGAGGCATATCCTTTAATGCCCATTGTTCCGGAATTAAGTAATTTTGTTCAGCCAAAACATAGGAATGTGTTATTTTTAGTAGTAGAATCACTACGATACAGTAAGTCACTTTGTGTACGTACATCGTAGAAGTAGAAATCATACTGTCTCGAGTTGTACTTGTTGATATGAAACTAAAATGAATTCAGGTTTTTATAAGGAAAACTTGTCTGTTACGTAAAGATAAACTACATTAATAATATATTTTTTAAATATCGATAAGTCGAAGATTATTACAAAGTTGCTTATCGACATATACGACATTATCTGACAAATAAAGTCATTTGACAAATTTGTTTATAAAAATTATGAGTTCGCTGATGCTGATTACTCCAGAGAGCAGAAACATAAGTAGAATGTAAAAGTAAAAATAACAACTTGACCTATTACAAGTTTTAGTACTGAAAACTAGCTGCTTATACTTGATCAAATTCTTCAGTTATTAATTTTTTGCACTATTTATTTATTTTATATACTAAAATGTCGTGTATATGCAAGGTGTATAAAAAGTACCGGGACAGTGAAATATAAAAACTAAGCATTTTAGAAAAAAATGTTTCAAATAAAAATTGTAGGGTTTTAAAAAATCTATTTATCATGAGTTTGACCTCGGGTGGCGTCGCCAAGGTCAGGACAAGGTCACCTTGAATTTTTTAAGTATGATCCCCTATTTTTTATTACATATTTTTGTAGCCCTTCTTCAAACCTTTTCAAAACATCTTAATTTTTTCTATTTTGAGTAAACCATTTCGAAGTTATCGAGCTTTTTATGATGTCCAGCCAGCAGCTGGAACAATTGCGTCACTTGTATTTCAGACACATATAATATTGAAAAGTAATACTATTGTTATTATTACAATAATATACTAAATTTATAACAGCACTAAAATTCACCTTCGAATCATTTCACATCAATTATAATAAATTTGACTTGAAGTAAAATACATTGTACATGATACGCGTTGTTTTATACTGTTACGTCCTGGAGGAGGAACGTAACTTCACGCTTGCTTTCACAAGCTCCGACATATTTGCGAGTCTACGGTCCAGATAAAGGATTGGCATGACTCCTTTATCTGCCGCGGACGTACGTCGGTGGTCTTTTATTAAAGTCAAGGAACTGAATCTTTTTAACTGGGATAGGACCGTGAGCGACGGTTGAGGAAAGGGAGGATATTTTATTTTAAATAATTATTTGAAAAGCGTGATTTCGTTATGACTACAAATTGGTCATTTATTGGTATCTAAGCCAAAGTTCACAAAAGAATTTGTTCGTTGAAATTCGTGAGTTATTGTAATATGTATATATATATATATATATATTTATATTATATATATATGTATATGTATATGTATATATATATATGTATATATATATACATATACATATACATATATATATAATATAAATATATATATATATAAATATGTATTTTGTTATTTATTCAAAGAACTTGTTCTCAGTGTTCTTAGACCAAATTGTACCAACATTATTTAAACTTTAAGTGAGACTTAAATATGTATCTATCTTTATCTTTCTTTTTATATAAATAAAGATAAACATATACTTAAGTTTCACTTAAAATGAAAATGACGTTGGTGCAATCGAGCCTTATACCTTCACAAGCTTCTGTTTGTGTACTAAGTTTGTCTTCATCTTTGTTTCTGTTTGTGACATCCTGTAATTGTGGAGTATACACAAATAATTCTTCCTCTTCACATGTTGGGTCATCAGGATCAATTAAATCTGAATTATGTACATCTTTTATATAAATCAACATTTTTCTAGTAGTGTCACCTTCAGTATTTCTTTGGCGCGAAACTACATGCTCTGAATGTTTCCCCAGGATATACCATTTTAACCTTCTTTGTACTTGTACAAGTATAGGATAATCATTTGCACCTCCTATTAAGGGAATCCTGGAGCGGCGACAGAACTCCAACGCGATTGCGCCCTCATCTGAGCGGAACTAATGATGTCGATAATACCGACATTTACAGTTCCGTTATCGACATTTATCGATATGTACATAAAGACACGTTCCGATGTATATTGCGAAAATATACATTGGGTGCGTTCACAACATTCAACAGTTGCGCAACTGTTGAGTAATTCGTCAACGTTTGGTCTGAGTGTAAGGAACAGTAAGGACCAATAGTCACTAACCGCTCACTGAGCGGTTTTCTCCACTGAATGCACCCATTATGAAAACATATAGTATACATAATATATATTATAGATCTTCAATATTCGCAATGCATATCGAAATATAGTCTATATACGAGGGTGGTCCGATAAGTACTTAGCCTACAAAAGAAAAACGAAAATTTTGGAAAAGTGGCGATTTATTTCTCAACATAGTCTCCTTTTAGCTCGATACACTTGACCCAGCGATGCTCCAACTTCTTTAACCCGTCTGAAAAATACGTTTTCTCGAGGTCTGCAAAGTAGGCCTCCGTGACGGCGATGACCTCCTCATACGACTCAAATTTCTGCCCGGCGAGTGACTTTTTCAAGTTTGGAAACAAAAAGAAGTCGCACGGGGCCAAATCTGGAGAATACGGTGGATGGGGCAGCAGTTCGTAGCCCAATTCGACCAATTTGACCATGGCGAGGGCGGAGGTGTGAGCCGGTGCGTTGTCATGGTGGAAGAGCACTTTTTTCTTCGCCAAATGGGGCCGTTTTTTCTGCAATTCGGCGTCGAATCGGCCCAATAATTCGGCATAGTACAGCCCTGTGACCGTTTTGCCCTTCTCCAGGTAGTCGATGTAGATCACACCTTGTGAATCCCAGAAAACGGTGGCCATCACCTTTCCGGCCGATAGGGCAGTCTTCGCCTTCTTCGGAGCACGTTCGCCGGGTGAAGTCCACTGTTTCGACTGTTCCTTGGTCTCTGATGTGTACCAGTGGATCCATGTTTCGTCGACGGTCACGAAACGACGCAGAAACTTCTTTGGATTGCGCTTAAACAGCGTCAAACACTGCTCTGAAGTGGTCTCACGGTTGCGCTTGTTGTCCGGAGTGAGCAAACGCGGCACCCATCGCGCCGACAGCTTTCTCATGCCCAAAATTTCATGCAGGATATGACCCACGCGGTCTTTTGAGATGCCTACTGTCTCAGCTATCTCGCGCACCTTCAATCGGCGGTCTGCCAATATGAGATCGTGGATTTTTGTCATGTTATCCTCTGTGGTAGCCGTTTTCGGGGCACCTGGGCGTGGCTCATCAAAAACCGACGTGTGATCACGTTGAAACTCGTTAAACCAATTTTTGACGGTCGCCATCGAAGGAGAAGAGTCATCGTACACAGCATCCAAGCGCTCTTTGATTTCGCTGCGCGATTTCCCTTCCAAAAACAAGAATCGAATCACCGACCGATATTGCTCTTTTTCCATTTTTCTAAAATCTGCGGACACGCCCGCTTCCACACGCGGTCAAAACAAAACTACGAGTCCGATTCGGCTGAAATTTCGACAGTAGCCGTCTACGAGAATGTACTACACGATAGTAAATTTCTCTTGCGATAGTGGCGCCATCGGACGGTGAGGCTAAGTACTTATCGGACCGCCCTCGTACATACACTTAGAAGGCCGAAAAACAGGCCAAACTTTAACATTTTATTCCTGCTAAACGGATAGTGGAAATTATATAAAATTTTTGTGTGATTATAGACTTATGTTTTGGCAATATAAAAAAAAATATATATATATCATTAGAAAGTTGAGACGGAAAAAAAATATGGGCACCGGCACACATCGAAGTTGAGAAAAACATGTTTTGCGGTGGACATTCTCCCGCCTAAACAATCCATTTGAAACAAAAGAACCATATGGTGTTTTGAAGTTAACAGTAGTGGTTTGTCGTTGACGTTTGCCGATTTTTTATTTTGTCGTTTGTCACAAAATGGCGACGAGTTGAAACTGAGATTTCAAAATTGCGAAAAATTTTCGTCTTTCTGATGTTATTTCTTTTCTTAATGAAGATCGATGAAAAAAATGAGATCGTCAACGACAAAAAAATATCTGAGAGTATTATGTAAAAATTTAAGAACGATCCATCGATTGGTTTTTGAGATATTCACCGTTTGAGGTATCCTCCGTCTTTGAAAACCATGTTTCGAAAAAAACGCATTTAAAGTTTAAAGTTCAGTTCAACTATTGTTAACAACAGAATTTTGCAATTTACCTCTAGTCGACAATTCCGGGGCCATATGAAGTACTTTTCACACTAATAGCAGCATCGCTACACGAAGACCTCTATTGACGGCGAGCAATTCTTCCTTCGCGCGTCGCTTTCTGCGCTCGTACTTCAGCCACATCGATGTGCGCTCGATCTTAATATTCACAATATGCAGTACAATTGTGATCAATATTGATTTCTAATGCATGCATTATTAATAAATATGCTGCAGCACTTCATTAAAAGTGCATGCAGCAATATTCGAAGTAATTTGCACAACGTATGCACTGCTGTGCTGCACTTTTGGCGTTATGCGCTAAATCAGATTGTTTATACTTTCATTTACGTTTCGCGTAAATCTACCAACACATCTATCCAATAAATTGTCATTCGAAATTTATTCATATATTGAACGAATGACTTTAATCATATTTATCGGCGGTTTATGTTGATATTGCTCTAAAGTTCCTTCGGCTTTTGCTCGCTACCACGAGCACTATGAGTCTGATCCTGGAAGGTAATTTTCATGATGAGGCTCTTTATTTGTTGACGATTTGTGATGTAGTGCAGCCCATCCTTTGCATCCTTCTTTTTTTATTATAGAATCGCAATTCTGTCTGATAGCGAAACCATAATATACTGTAAGTTCATTCATAAGTTTCCCAGTTAATTTTAACAGTTTTCTCTTTCTCCATGTACGCAGAGGGGAACATCGAACAATAGAGACCCGAAACTAGTGCCTCCAGAAATATGCACACACAGAAGAATGCCGTATTCGTGAGCGCATTACTAGCCGCGTTAGGTAGCAGAATTCGAGCGCTCGAACGCTCGATTCCGTTTTACTCAACTCTCTGTAACTTCTCTATTTTTGCAGATACTGACATGAAATTTGCAGGATATATTCTCGAAATTTGAATCTTTAAGAAAATGTAAAAAAATCGATTTTTTACCCTGCTAGGTATATGTAACTCCTTAAGGGGTCCATTACAAAAGTTATGTAGATTTTATACTTGGCACTCAATTTGAATCTTAGGAGGTCCAAGACAAATTTGTTAAATGAAAATTTCTATTCTCTTTATTACACAATCTTATATACCTAATATTTTTTATATATATAATACTTCTTATTACATAATTCAAAGAAATAAAAAAATTTTGTTTCTTCCGTTTTTTGCTAAATCTCTTCCAACGGGCCTAAAACGTCAGTTAAATGTTGCATTTTGAAAACTGGGATCTCGTCGCCTGGGATTAGTAGGCCGAAAAAATTATAAAGTTATTCGTTACACTATGCTAAAATTGTTAACATAGCGTACATTTTGATTTTGGCAGAATCTAGACATAACATAATTATTCTTCTTTTGTTACTTTATGCCCGGATATCCTACGAAGAAAAAAAACTGTCTTATTAATTATACATATGCAAAAAGTTTATCATTCAAATACCTTTTGTTAATAGCAATGGGGGTTTTTTCGTAGAAATACCATTTCGTTAAATTCCTAAATGGCATCTCAATGCATATTATGAGAAGTAAAGAAATTATATAAGATAATAGCAGCAGCGGAATAGTATTCAGTGTCTAGATAAAAAAATTATTAAATCTAATAAATTATCAAACTATTAATAACGCATGATATACTTGATTATATTCCTAGAAATAATAAGAAAAATCGCATTCATCATATTTTTATATACTTACTAATTTAAAAAGACTGAAAGTTCTTGCATTTCTTGTTTGTCCTATATCAGATATAACTAATATAAAGTGTACTAGATAAACTCCATAAGTTAAGTTTGCTAATGGTTGCATCCAACGAGGCGTTAAGAAACGATAGTAAAATTCTGTGGAAGCATAAATAAGATATATGATAATGGATTCCGAAATAATTTTGGCAAAGTAATTTTTGAAACAATAAATACTGAGATATAATTAACATTTTTTTATTAGAATAGAATAAATTAGTAAAAATTCTAATTCGATCAAACTATAAATTGATTAAAATATAATAAATAAACCTGTACTGTATTGTTTGAGCTTGGCTAAAACTATTATATTTTTAAAGTTTTTAAAAAAATAAAGAATAAATTTTCCCAATTGAGTGAATCTATAATTACAATAACAGCTATTTAATAATTAATATAATGGTTACCAACCCAGCAAACACAATTTTACATGTAACGTGCATGTTAGTTGTAATTTCCTACTCAACAATATAACTGTTATATAACACATGCGTTAATATAACACATATAACACAATTGTTATATAACATATGTGTTATATAACAGTTATATTGTTGAGTAGGAAATTACAACTAACATGCACATTACATGTAATATTGTGTTTGCTGGGAATATTCAAAAACAATAACTTGTCTTATACTTCTTGGCCTTTCGGCAATAGTAAACAATAGTAAATTATAACTTAAAGTAGTTCAAACATTTTACAATATGTTTATCATACCTGATTGACTGCCGATGGATAATAAAACTATCGTAGAGCACACGCACAAGGCAGAAATAAGTCTTTGTAAAAATGCAAAAATTGCTTCTTCTAACACATTTGGCTTGCTCAATATAAGAAATTTATGCGCCCAACATTGGGTGGTGACATATAAAACCACGGGCATTGGGTAAACCAAGATATGTGACCAGAACTGAAAGCACATGATAGTGCATATTATATAGGTATATCCTATTCTCCAATTACCTAATGTGGCGATATTATTTATTAAAATTGAAATTGGAAAGCTCTGGCCAATATTATCCATATACTTACTTAGGTTATGTTTATTAATAAAATTTAGCCGCAACCAATGTTGCCTTCTGTATTTTTTTTCTTTGATAAAAGATATATTGATAAGATTGATTGATACATTTTTGACACCACATAAGAAACATTAAAGTACGTTACAAAAATTTGTTTCTTTAGAAAAACTAACATATATGTGAAGTTATCTATATCTAAAACTGGTACAAGTGTTCTCGATATTTGAATAAAAATAACATAAAGGAATTTTATAAAATAAGAAATTGCTCATTGTGAAAATTGCTATTCGTGAAAAAAATATTTTACTTCAACATGATTTTTAAATTCGTATCTCATTTTTTCTCTTTTACTCATGAAAATGATACAAAAGTTAGCTAAAAATATATTATATCATATATTCACATACCTTAGACAAGCGCCACGTACTATCTTTGTGATCGTGAAGTATTGCACCAGCGATTATACCGATAAAGTATCCAGTGGCACACATATGCGTTTTAATATAATACGTTTTAAACTCCGTCACTTCTTCTAATATAGTTACGCTGTATATGATAATAAAATAAGTGATTCATTAAGATTGATGCCTTTCATCTACATTTGTTTTTCTAATTAAATAAGCTAATTTCAGGTAACAATGGAACCCGGATTAATTACGTCTCAATTAGAAATAGAATTGTATATAGAATAACAAAAATAATTACTTACGACGGAATGAACCGCACAACGGATGGTGCATCGTATACATAAGTGGCAAAAAAGAGTATGGTGCAACTCATTAATGTTAATATTCCAAGAAAAGAATATCCTATTTTACGTGGCATACGCCAAAATGCATATATCACAAATTGACTGCAGACAAAAAGTTGAAAGTCTGCCGCTAAATACCAGCCATGCATGACACACTGAAACACGTTATTTATATGTCAACGTTAACTGATTTTTTTCGGATATTATTTGGATTGATACAAACATAATTTTATTACCAATTCCGAATTTGCGACGTAATTGTTGATATACAAGAGATTTAACCACCAATTTTTCGCACAATGAGCGCTTTCTTCAACCACTATGTTCCAAAATGGTCCGGAACCTAATAGCGGGAGAATCCAAATGTAGAAACCAATGATTGTGGCATATAACGGTGTTAACCTGTAATTCATTACATATATTACGTGAACTTAGATATATAGAGTGTCGCACTTTAATCTTGCCATATAATTATCTATTAAATAACTTAATATTCGATGAAATATTTCAGATGGAGTTGATTTAATTTTAAGAAGGTCTTTTTACCATGCATATATTTTTTTTAGGCAGTGACATCTTCTCATGCCAAGTGACCCACGTTTCTTTTTCTTTCTTTTTTTTGATGGAACTATGTTTTATTTTAACTATAGCTCATTCCGAAATAGGTAAATTGACATATGTCATATGAGTCCATCAAGATCACGATTAAAGATTAAATAATTGATTAAGGATATTCAAGATCCATCTTAGTTGAACCCAAAGTAGCCCAAAAAAATTTTTTTTATTTAAAAGAATAACTTTGGACATCAATACATTGTTCCTATCTCTGAATGACACAGTTCTACTTTCTTCATATTTAAGTCATTTGCGTAATTCGACAGATGGCCGTGATTCGAGTTTTGATATTATCCAGTACGGTAGGCACACAAGCTTTAATTTTTAGAAAGAAATCTGAATAGTATGAGATTAGATGAGAAAGATACGTTATCCTGTTCTTATCCAATGACCAGGAGAAATATTATTGAGCTTCTTCAAACTTCATTATGAGCAGAAATACCGTTGCGCTAAAACTACATTCGAATTCTGATAAGAAGTGGGACATCTTTCAGAAGTAATTGATGTTCATTGGTTAGAAAATTGTTACAATGAGCTCCGATTACTGTATCATAAAAAGTATGAAATAAAGAGAAAGAGATAATATTTTCCGTTGAATCCGCTAAGTCCACTGATAAAACCGCATTTTAATTGCATAGTCGGCATTAGTTAATACTTGATGTAAAGACATTTGATAGGGATGAAAGTGATGCGTTCTAATATTTTAGACACGGTATATTGTGATACATTACAACAGTTCTCTCGTAACTGAGTACTGATATGAAAACCTGCACTACTGTTGTGACAGTCTTCGATTTTTTTAGAATAGTGCACATTGCGGTATTTCCGCAAAAATGCTTGCTATGTATTGTATAAAATTCACAGCTGTGAATCATCACATAACAAAGATGTCGATATGCAGAAAACTTTCCTGTAATTTTACTAATATTCCTTCAAATTCAAAAGAATAGATTCGTCAGGCGTGTAATTTGTTGTCGTAGCAAATTCATTTACTATATAAGAAAGTATGAATAACACTTGTTAGAATGATACTAATAGTATCGAAGAAATTATGTAATGCGTTAAGATAGATATATTCCGCATTTGTAACGTGATCTAGGAATTCATACCATTTATATTAGGTAATGTTCCACTTACTATTATACCGATTAATTTCTGCAATAAGGAAAATTTTTTAGCTGCTCAGATAAAATGAATCTTGAATTACCTTAACCGCAAATAATTTTAGAGGGCTTATTCCTCAGTAAAATATATGTTTGTAATAACAACATATAAGGAGATTTAAGAATGTAACGTACTTTTAATAGGCATATAATTGCATTGGCTTCAAAATCACATTAATTGAATATTCAAAGTGCACTGCAATGCGATATTAATGTGATATTCACGCATTTAATTAATAACACATTTTTTTTAAATAAATGAGGAGTTTTTGTTTTGATTTGGGTTTCCTTGGATTTGTTTTAAACTATTTTGCTGCTTGGAGATTAACCGATATAATATATTGTTAAAAATTTAAAAGCAACCATAGAATCACACATGCGCGCGCGCATACACACACACACACACGCACCGAATGTTTGCATATTTTTCTCCGATCTCAAACGGCGTGAAAAGTCATGACCACCCAATGCCTTGAACGCGCTACACATTGCTTGACTTGATCCAGCGGCACATGGCGATGCCAATGGCTTCGACAACATTTTTACGACTAATATTTATATAATATAATATAATTCTTATAATGTTCGCAGAACATTATAACATATTAACATTGAAAAGGTAGACATTGAATAACGTAATAACATTAGATATGCGACGATTGATAAAAATATGAAAATGGCTACGAAAATTACGTCTGTAGCGGGAAAGATTTTAAGACTCACATTACATTATTTTTTATTACATTTTTATAATGCATTACCACATTAAGTATCTACACCTTTTCATACTAAGATCTTAACTCAAGTAGCCGAACAGTCAACCATTTAAACTTGCTGATAACAACACGATGCGTGCAATATCTATACGCGATTCAGTTAACTATAGTGCTGTCGGTAATGCTAAACCGTGTGATAAAATGTTATATCACTTCTACATCCTGTATGTTAGTACACCTATGTGTGTGTGTGTATGTGTATGTATGTGTGTATGTGTAAGCGTGCATGCGTGCATGAGTGCATTCATGTGTGCTTGTGTGTGTATATGTATATGTGATTCCATGGTTGCCTTTAGATTTTTAGCGAATTATTATAATAGTTAATATTCTCAAATATCAAAATAGTTTAACAACAAACTCAAAGAAACCAAATCAAAACAAGAATTCCTCATTTATTTAAAAAACCTTATTATTAATGAAATGTAAAAATATCGTATTAATTACAATATATTTTGAGTACACAATTAATGCGATTCCAAAGCCAATGTAATTGTACGCGTATTAAAAATACGCGTTATATCCTTAGATCTCCTTATAGAAAAATATATATTTTCTTGGTAATTTAGTCAGAACTTATTCGTTGAAATAACGTTATGATTGATTTATCACTGACTGATGGTTATGTTTAAATCATATTATATTTTTATAACCAGTGCATGGTAGAGTAATATAACAATTTTATAACATAGTTATATTGCAGTTATAATAGGAAATTATACACGTATTATAAATTCGTATTTTAAACTCAACACACTAATAACATATAACAGATGTTACATTGAATGTTAATTTTGCGTTATATGATAGTTATATTCTATTTGATAGGATATTGTAGGTCGAAAAACTAGTTTCAGCGTGGGCTATAAGACGTGTCTGTGAAGTTGGCACGACATTTTTAAAATTTTAAAAAAACGAGTTCTAGTAGAACTTTTCATAGTTCTACAGTTTCTGATAGAAAATAAAAAGAGTTCCGCATTTTTACTATCAAAAAGTGGCAAATGAAAAATTGTCGTGCTAACTTCATGAATCTAGCATGACACTTCCTCCTCTAATGTATAAGAAATCAATAAATATCACTGCTTTTAGCAGGAGTTCCTGGTAGTTCTAATCGAGTTCCAACTCTGTCATTAAAATAAAAAAATTCCAATAATTACGTTATTTACATAAAAAAATTAAATATTACATAAAAAATTCCAATAATTACGTTATTTACATTAACAACGTATATTGTACCTAGCATGACACTCGGAAAGAAAGTGTCGTGCTGATCACTTCTAGCGCATTTTTCGATATATATCGACAGTTCTAGATGAGTTCTAACAACTACGATTGTTTTTAGGCAGAGTTTCAGTCGCTCACTATTTTTAAATAATTTTTTAATTTTCGGACCCAGCACTTTCCTGCGAACAGATAAATTGCGCTCCTCCTCTAGGACGTAACAATAGTAAAAATGCAGAACTCTTTTTATTTTCTATCAGGAATTCTAGAACTATGCTACTAGATATATCATTGTTTTTTTTTAATTTAAAGAATGTCGTGCCAACTTCACAGACATCTATAAAACTATCTAAAGAAATATGTTAATTTCCGAGTCGGCCATAAGAAACCAGATAAAAGGAAATATCTACATTCATTTAAGAAAAAAAGCATCACCTTGAAATGTTAGAAGCAGTTTCATCTAAAAAAAAATTATATTCATCGGAAGATGATCCTCTCTTTCGAAACTGAATAAGTTTAATCTAAAATATTTATTCAAATAGAAGAAGTTTGAAAGTTTAGGAAATAATTATTTGATATTATATTGCATATGTTTCATCTGAAATATTTATTCGAATAGCAATTAGTTTGAGAGATAATTATGTGAGGAGATTAAAATGAAACACGCTGTACTTGCATATTGTGTATGATACGTTGATCAAGAACATCACATAAGTTTTTTTGTAGTGAATGGCACTTTAATAAAGGGGATAACATAAGTTTTTCAAATGAATTTCCTGCGTCTTTGAAGATAGGAAAATATAGTATTTCTTTTGGAGATGACTAGGTACGTAAAAGTATTAGAGATAAAAATTTATTCGATGCTTTTACTTTTAATCAATTAAAACTCTGCTTTAAATCGATATATCTTCCCAATATTTAGAGGCTTTAGAAATACTAAAATTAAGGTTTAAAATGCATATAGCTTGGCGCAGCTAGCAACATAACTTCACAAAATTGTATAGAACAAGACGACGTCTAACATGCAACATATCGCATACTACATTCTTTGTGCTGCTTTTAATTGAAAAAAGTATGCGAGGTTGCAATTATGATTCACTTAGCTTTGAGAAAAAATGCTGTAACACATAAATTGTAAAAAGTAGTATCAAAAGTACCAAAAGTTTCAGAGAAGTTATTTTTGTTTAATTAATGAAAAACATTCTGACATGCTGAAGGAAATTTGAAAACAAAGAGCTTAAGCAATTATTGAACGAAAATCCTATTAAGATTTAAAACAAGCCTGTATTGCAACTGCGAGTAACCTACCAATCAATTTCCGTTCACTTATACAGGGTGGGAGTTATAAGTTTACAACCCGAAGTGTGAAGGTAGATTGGGTTAAGACAAACATAAAAGTCCCATACCGTTTTGCGAGATTCGCAATAATTATCAAGTTATTAATGACAGAAATCTGAGGAATGGGAGTGCGCCGACATAGATGATTGGAGAAGCGTTGCAGCTACTCAGGCCACAGCGCGGCCCACTCGACCCAGCAACTGTTGGCGGCGTGCGATGAGACGTAAGTCCGGCGAGATAAAACAACGAATAATGGTGCACTGTCTTTCTCCTCGTCGCACACCGGCAACAGTTGCTGTATCGACTGGGCCGCGCTGCGGTCTAAGCAGCTGCAACGCTTTTCCAATCATTTATGCCGGCATGCTCCCTCTCTTCAGATTTCTCTTATTAATATTTCGATAATTATTGCGAATCAAGCAAAACGGTACGGGACTTTTATGTTTGTTTTAACCCAATCTACCTTCACACTTCGGGTTGTAAACTTATAACCCCCTACCCTATATAAGCTAAGAAAAATTAGAAAATTAGACGGATGGATTACGCACGAACTGAATTCGGAGAGAAGCAGAAGAGATTTGATGTCCATGTTAACGAAGTTACTACATAGTGACTTTTTATATAAAATCATTATTGACGATAAGAAATAGATTGTGTACGGCGACCCTAAAAGAAGAAAACCCTGGATTAGGAAAGCTTGGATAAACATTGACATCGATGCGAAACCCAATGTTCACGCAAAATAAATTTTTTTTTCATTTAATAGGATATGAATGATATACAGGGTATTTCAGGAGAAAAGGTACATATTTCAGGAGGTTATAGTATGGACTATTTTGAGTAAGAAAAATGGAACATTTTTACTCAAAATGGTCCATACTATAACCTCCTGAAATATGTACCTTTCCTCCTGAAACACCCTGTATTATAAGTTGTTGCGACCTAGCCGAACAATTTATGATGAGTATTGCCAAAAAAGATTCATTTGGAAATAGAAAGGAAAAACTATTTACTGGCCAGGGGACACGATAAGTATTTTGCAGCACGATATTTTGGCTGACACACATCTTAAAACTATGGAAGAGATTAAAAAATGTATCGATAATTTTATCGACTTAAAGTCGCCACCGTCTTTTCGAGAGGAGATTCGTCAGTTATCCGATGCATGGAGAAAAGTATAAAAAAAAATATATAGCGAATATTTTGAAGATTGATATGTTTAGTATTTTTGGTTAACAAAGGCTCAATTTTTTCAAGGGAAACACCGAAATAATCTGTGCATCTAACATTTAAACATGATTAGCTTGATAAGATTTTATTGCGATGGATGAAATATATCCTCGAAACTTTACTTTCAGGCAGTGTTCTTGAAAAATTGTATAATTCTCAAGACATATGACTGGAGTATTTAAAATATAATACTCTGTGCATATATGTGTGTATGGACATACCTCAAATATCTCGAAACAACATTCTTAACGAATTTAAGTCGTTTATATTGATCCAAGTCTTTTAATAACTGAGTTGTGAGTAAAACGCCACTCAAAGCGAACATTATATTTATTGTGAAAGTGCTATTTATTAGTATTGCCACTAAAGGAAATTTGTATATCTAAAAACAAACAGTAAAATAAAAAATATTATGTAATTATTACTTAGGAAAAGATTATTAATGCATAAATACTATACATATTAAATTTAATGTACATGTGTTCAATAGTTTTACATACCTCTTCTAAATCAATTGCATTAATAGTGGGAACATAAAAATATTGTATTCCATTATGCATGCCAACAAAGCTGCTAATAGTAATGAAACGTATAAAATATATAGAATCAAGTCCTGTATGTGTATAATTCATGTGGAAAATTGTTTCATAATTTTTCCGAGCGGAAAAGTGTAACATGATATTTCGTATTACAGACATATTATTTCCTTCTCTGCTTGACACACGGTCGTACAAAGTGCTGATTATTACCAAACTCAGCAAAGCGAAAAGTACAACACTGAAAAATTATTTAAAGTTACATATATGATATTTTTTTCATATTTATGATGTGAATAAAATTTACCAGTAAATTCCGGCACCGAAATTAAATTTTGGTGCTTCTTTAATTGTGGAACATGAATTAGGTTGCACAGTTATCTGAAATTCAATATTTTTACCCGCTCCAAGTCTTTCTAATGGTTCCCTCAAGGCTATTTCTACAGTTTCCGCACTGCAGGTCGCCGGTACACATAAAGCCAGTTGTAAACGATTTCTGCATACATGGCTATCTTCCAATTGCTAAGTACAAAAATATTAAATAAATGAATAAATAATCAATTAGTTTCTAAATCGACGTGTCGTAAATAAATTGTAGTAAGTAAAATGTTGAACAAAACGGAACAGAAAAGAAATTTTATGTGACGAATATTTAAATAAAGATTGTTTTTTGTTATCGTTGGGATTTTTTAATTCGCATCTGCAACTAAATATATTATATTGTACTTAAGGAATTGATTTCCGATTTGAAACACCAGTTTCCCATTTGGAATAAAAGTAAAAGTTAAAAAGAGTATCATTAGTCATGGCTACATTGGGTTCTTATAACTTTTGTTTAAACATTACTTTATGTAGAATATGATATCTTTCTTATCTTTCTTATCAAATGTATACAGGAATCGCGTTTTCTCTAGAATAGGTTTGAAGGATATTATCGATCGGCCAGAGAGAGCCTTGAGAGAGCTAACAAGCAGTTTAAAAACAATAGAAGTCAATCATAATTGAGTGTGAGACATGTCGTGAGCTCTTTATTTCAACTAAAAATAAATCTAATTTTGTTCTTAAAGATGATTTGTTATATTATCCTCTTTAGTCGAGGACTTAATTCGCATATGATCACAGGACTAATTTTTGTATGTTTGTGGAATCGAACTTTAAACCTAGAGTGAAATCTTACATTTATTTCTTCTATTGTTATATAAACATTATCACATTAGATTTTTCCGTCAGATGTTACGTAGATATTTTAATTCGACTATTAAAATTACACATTTTGTACGTATAGTTATGTAGCACTATAATCTTAAATATAGTAGTATTGTATGTAATAGTGTGTAGTGTGTAGTAGTACGAAGCAGTATGTATGTAGTAATATATAATAGTATTTGTAGTACAACTGACAATAAGCAAGCAAATATGGACGAGCAAGTGACGTTCAATTTAAATAGTGGTTTAAACAGCAAACGTAGAGAGAAAGCAAATGGAGAAAATTGTAGCGATGTAAAGAAGCAGGAATAGAGACGATCGAATTCGACATGAACAGATTGAGTTTTCTTCCTTATAATATATATTTTCAAAATACTTTCAAAATAATACTTTCAAAATATGTTAAGGTTTGTATATATATAGTAATTATTCTTGAAGTATGTAATTTATAATTACACATTAATATCCTAATACAACTTTGTTCTATTTAGTTTCGTTCGATTTGTTGTGAAGTAGAATGATAGAATACCTGTAACACTTCCCAAAAGGAATTGTTCATGTTCAATTCACTCAAAATATCGTTCATGTATCCTGAAACTGATAATTTTTGAGGAATCGATGTCACTTGCTTCTTATTGTATTCAATATTGACTAAACAATATTTGCCATTGATTTCATGAGCATTATCACTCTCTTCCACGATATGTACTTGCATATTGTAACACTCATCAAAATTTCCCAAGTGTCTTGTATGACCGTAGAATACACCTTCCGGATACTTCGTAGAAGAATCAAACACTAAAATAAAATTTAAAATATAGTACATATGTTACACATATAAGTATAAGCAGAGTTTTATTTGAAAAGTTTCCACTCTAATATTTTCTAAAATATTGTATGAAAAAATATTGAATATAAAAGTCGTAAAAGGTGGTTAGAGAAAAATATTTATGATAATGATAATGATAATCTTTGGTGCATCGCATTTTGCGTCGAAATAATTTGTGGCCCTACCGTTATCGACGCGTGCAACAATTACTCCCACGTGATGAAGCACCGCGGGCGCACTTTTGTGCAGGTATGTTTATTATTTTTATGAGAGACTAAATTAAAAAATGTTAATATATCTACGTGAAAGACGCGCAGGTCTTCTCGCATAGTGTCGGCGAAATGAATTTTTCCCGACCGTTTCCTGTGGACGGGTGAGGCGACTTTCACACTGAACGGCGTGTTTAATTCTCACAACACATTGCTGTGGCCGAAAATGCCGTTCGCCAATGCGCCTTTCAATACCGATGGTCGGTGAACGTGTGGGCAGGAGTAATTGCAGACAGAGTGGTACGTATTCTTGTAATTTGTAACATGCGGAACATGTTTTATTACACGTATAATTATTTAAATGGGGTAATTATTTTCAGATCGGCACATTTTTTTTACCGCCACGTCTCGATGGGCAGAGGTACACAGAATTCCTTGAGAACGAGCTACCTCTTCTTCTCGAGAACGTTTCTCTCCGTGCACGCGAAACTATGGTATTTCAGCACGATGGAGCTCCCGCACACTCTTCGCGTACAGTGCGAGAAATATTAAATATGCGTTTTTCGCACAGGTGGATGAGTCGCGGTGGCCCAATCACTTGGCCGGCACGGTCGCCGGATTTGAACGTTCTCGATTATTTTGTATGGGGATACGTCAAATCCTTAGTCAAGCAACGGCGCGATGGTACAGAAGAGGAGGTACGTGCAGCAATTATTGCGGCCTTCGCTACCATCACGCTGGATATGGTGCACCGACGCAACAGATAACACGAAGAGCTGACCTCTGCTTACAAGCTGCAGGAAGGCACTTCGAACAGTTACTACACTAATTAGTAACCGTAGATTAGGCCTACTGGGGAAACCACGTAGAAACAAACGCACCAAGCTATCTACCTCATCGAAGATGGTGTGGAAATGATAGCGTTTCCACGTGAAAAAATAATTTTAACACGCGCAATTGCGTTTAATTTGCATTTGTCGTCGTGTTTAATAAACATTTAATTAATGCCTGCAACCCAGGAGTGTGCGCCACACACTTTTGGCAAAGAGGAAACACGCTTAGATTTGCATGCGTTCATCATCGCCTCGCCGCGCACCGGCGGTGACAAAGTGTCAAAACGTCATCGCCTCAGCCTCGACGCATACAGTTTGCCGCGGATCGTCTACGGTATATAGTAGGAAGCTGGTTTCATGTCTGTGTATATATGCATGTGTGTGACTTATGAGAAGTCGTAATTGTTTACATATATTGATCTATTTTTTTATAAAGTTTTCGATATACTCCAGTCCGATTTTTCCTCCTTGACTGATTGTAACTAAAAAATTATCTATTATTTAAAATTGAGTTTATTACATTATTAGTTTAGTCAGACATAAGCTACAATATATGTAAAAATTGGCTAATTTCACTGAGCTCCAAAATCATATACAGAATTATAACAATAAATATCTATCGCATACTTTGGACTATAGGAAAAAATGGTATAAGGTAAAGTTGATTATACATGACGATACATAATTGTAGCACTTATAGCTTTCTTATTGCAAAGCACAAAGATGCTAAAGATATCTACTTTTTCACTGTTTGAAAATTCCATAATGATATGCTCTTCATTAAATTCATTTATTACTCTGTACGAGTCTTACAGGCCCTCTACAATAAGCCGTTAGTTTTAAGACGTAAGTAAATTGACCAACGACAGTCAATTATTCCGAAAAATTATCGACTGTGAAAAACTGCATCTTCCAATTTGCATTTTACGTGTTGCTACCTATGTAGATGGGCCGTTAGGAATAGACGTCACTGTTACTCTCGATGCTATCGAATATTTATTAGGAACGCAAAAAAGTTCTGAGCCCTAGATTTCATACTACTGAAACCACAATTTAAATTGCATTAATTTTCCCGCCCTCTTGCGGTTTTAAAGCAGTGACATTTGGTCTTTCGAAACATCGTGCGATTTGGCGTTTGATGCACATAACCTTAAAATCAGCAGTGTTCACGATGGCAATAACAAAAGAGCATATTCGATTTTCCATCCACTTCGCGTTTCATCTGAAGAAAAATGCTGCTGAAGCCACTGAAATGATCTGTGTTGCATATGGAGAGAACGCTGTAAGTTATGTTACGTGTAAAAGGTGGTATCAAAAATTTCGCCAAGGAGATTTCAGTCTTGAAGATGAACCGCGTGCTGGACGCCCTCAAAAGATTGAAACGGACGAACTGCAAGCATTGTTGGATATAAACTCTGCACAAACTGAAAAGGAGCTTGCAGAGCAACTTGGCGTTACGCGACAAGCCATTTCCACACGTTTACACGTGCAATGGGAAAAGTTCAAAAGGAAGGCAGATGGGTTCCGCATGCACTGTCCGAAGACAACAAAAATCGACGGCGTGACACGGCACTCACTTTGCTTTCAAAGTTCCGGAAAAAGGATTTTCTGTACTAAATCATTACAGGTGATGAAAAGTGGATATTTTATGATAATCCGAAGCGTCACGATAATCCGAAAAATCATGGGTTGACCCTGGTCAACCTTCGACATCGACGCCAAAGACCAATATCCACGCCAAGAAGGTTTTGCTTTGCATATGGTGGGAATGGAAAGGTGTATTGTATTACGAGTTGTTACAGCCGGGTGAAACAGTAACGGCAGATCGCTATCAGTAACAATTGAGCAATTTGAGCGATGCGTTTGAAGAAAAGAGGCCATTTACTGGCAAAGGACGTCGTAAAGTGATACTGCTTCATGACAATGCCCGACCACATGTTGCGAAAGTGACTCAGGACCATATCTTTGCGTTAGGCTGGGAACTTCTCCCGCACGCGACGTATAGCCCAGACATGGCGCCTTCCAATTACTACCTATTCCGGTCTCTGCAGCATTTCTTGGCTGATACACATTTTGTGACACTTGAAGAGATACGAAAATGCATTGATGACTTTATCGTTTCGAAGCCGGTGAGCTTCTACCATCAGGGAATTCGCAAGCTACCCGAAAGCTGGCAAAAGGTCATCGATGCAAACGGGGAATATTTCGTTGATTAATATAGTTTTGTTTTTAAATAAATTTTGAATTTTGCAAAAAAAGGCTCAGAACTTTTTTGCGCTCCTAATACAAACAGTAATATTTTCCGTAATATCATTCCGTAATAAGATCTTTCTAGATATTCGATGCCAAATACTTGTTGGTGGAAATGATGGTGGAAAATTTGAAAATTTAACGTTAATAAATCTCATTAATTACTCATTTTTTAGTCATCTTATACTTTACTACTTTTTATGCAGAATATTTTGAGAAATCAAGTTGTATAAAAAATTAGGAGGATTTTATTTAAAATTAAAATGCAATTGCAGCTTTCTACTTCATCATCGCATCAACAAAAAACTAACTTTATAAGAAAATAATGTTCATTAAGTCATTCAATTTTTTCTAATACCATTTTTTCTACTATCCAAAGTGCAATAAATATTAACTATTACTATTCTGTGAGACATCCTGTATAATTAGCGAGGTCCTTTGGCTTTTCTCATATTTTAACATAGTTTTGATATTTAACAAATTATTTTATAAGATAAGCCATCAACGTATAATTTATAGTAATAACGTATAATAACGAACAATATCAAACAATGCTTTCGTTCCATATTTCAATTTGTTAAACATATAATTTATATAATTTATATAAACTTACTTAGTGTAGCCCATGTAGAGCCGTTAAGTAGATCATGTAAAAATCTTTCCGTATCTTTCTTGCACGGTCCAGTCGGCAAATATTCCGATGTTGCAAAAATAATGGATAAAAATGAGATATTTTCCAACGCCCATTCCGGTGCTGAGTGATTCTGTTTATCCAAAACATGGGAATGTGTTGTTTCCAATAATAAAAGCATTATACAGTATATCAGATTTTGTCCATACATTGTGTCAGTAAAAGACATACTATCTAAAATAGTCGTAAAATAGACTATATATAACAGTGCTGCGAAAATGTGCCCGAGCAAGTGCGAGAAGAAGTGCCCCGTCCATGCGCCTTCTACGCAACAACGCTATTGCTCCGTCTACCGATGACTACATTTACACAGCTTTTAACTTCGACTTAGTAACGCTAATGTTATAACTCCTACTTAAGGTGAGTTGCGTTTACACATTTACGCTTATCTATTTGAAATAACTTAATAACTTTCGAGTGAGTCAAGGATTTCCATTAGTACCAATATGAAAGGCCGGAAAAATTAAATGATTGTGATTGTAGTCTGAATATAAAAGAATTAGAATATGAAAAGAATAGTATGTAAATAAATCAACAAATAAAGTGAACTTTTAGGTTATATTATGAATTTGAAAATTATAAAATATATATATATATCTATATAGCAAAATTTATATAATAAAAAATGATATTTAACTAAAAATGAAATTAATTTAAGAAAATATCGAGTTTCTTCGATTTCCCAATTTTCACGCTTTTTGGTTTCTATTTATTTTATTTTCCGCGCCTTCCGTACACTTGAATAATTAATTTTACAATCAAGTTAAGATGTTCAATTTTTATATTGGTATTAATGTCATATTTACACTGCGTCCATTTACACGTCTTCCTTACGTCGATATAGAAACTCTAAGCCTCTTCACCAAATGACTTTGAGTTGCTATATCAATGTAATAACTTCGTCGTAAAGGAGTGTTTACACGGCATCTAACGTCAATAGTTATAACATCGATGTTATAACTTTGGCGTAAATTGGGCTATGTAAACGTAGTCATAGGCTGCGATCGCTTTGGGCGCTTACACGCTTTAAGCGCTTATAAGCATTACTCACAGCGTTTGCTTTGGCGTTATAAGCGTTTATAAGTCGTGACGTCATAACTTTTGCTCACAGTCGCTTATTTCATCGAGGTAAGGTAACGAAAGCGTGAGCGCTAATAAGCACATTTTGACCAAAGTGAACGTAAAACGAAACATAAAATATGGCATCCGACAAAATTCGTATAAATCTTAAAGATGCTGAAACTGGACAAATTTACGCAATAACTAAAGAAGAAGCAATAAGGATTGAAAATGGTAAGTTTCTTTCTTTATACATATTTTTTTAACCGGTCATAATATTTTGTTTATTCATTAAGTTAGGTTAGAATGCAATTAACAATTTATTATTATTTATAAATAAAATAAAATAATTTTTCTTTTTATTTAAAAATTTAGATTCTACCACCAAATAAATAAGTTATTAACTCTTAACTGGTGAAATGGGATTTGGTGGATTTCTTTCTTTTTCTTTTAGTTGTATTCTTATAATTTCTAAAATCTTACAAGTTAATATGAAATGGAATGCATGCAGTCACTCCTCAGATCCCATCTTACTAATTAAAGGTTAACTGTCTCTTTCGATTTTTCTTTTTTTTTTACTATTTTCTTGATAATTACTTGATAAACTTGGTAGCTGATGGTTGATAATTTACTTCTTTTCTTTACTCTCTGTGTGAATTATTTCCCTTTACAGATATTTATTTTGCTAGTGAGAAACTAAACGAAGCAATCAAAAAGTATTATAAGTTTTCCACAACTATAGATATCTTGTACCTAGTAAACACAAATATTAGTAACAATATCAATGCTATAATGTCAGCTGAAATATGTGGTACATAATGTAACAATTACATTATATGTGTGTTATATAACATATAACTGTTATACATACTATATATTTCAGCTAATATTCTAATATTAATTATATTATTGATTACTGATACTGATTGCGATTTACTAAATATATTCAGTTTACTGACTCCAAATTGAGTCACACTTTCTCTCTTTGTTTTTTGTTTGCCTTATAAAGAAGAGAGCGAGTCAATATCTGACTTAATTGTACATGAATCAATAAATGGAATATACTAATAATTTTCAGCTTTAATACCTTTTGTACCATCATAAGATATGCTTTTTTCAAAGAATTTCTTGAACTAAAATATATTGGTGCAATAAGTTAAAGTGAAATAAGTATATTTTGTTTCACTTTAACTTATCAATGTACAATAACTTAACAATACATATTATTCACGCACACGTGTATGTATGTTTTATATATATAAATATCAATTTATATATATATATATATAAATTGAAATGCATATTTTAATACACAGACAGTTCTAATGACGCAACAGATATTGAATCCAAAGAAATAAATCCAGAGAAAGAAACAGATGAAAATATATCACCAGAAGAAATTGGAGGTATTTCCTAAATATCTTTTTACTGATATTTATTAATTTTTACAATTGTTCATAAAATATTAATTTGTGTAGCATATAAATGGCCGCATGAAGCAATACTACTATTAATAGAAGAATATCATATGCATCAGAATGATTTTGTAAGTGGAAAAATATCGTAAAAGAAAGCATGGATTCTTATAGCAGAGATAATGAAGAAACATGGTTACAATGTAACTGGTCCTCAGTGCTTATTGAAATTTTCCGATCTAAAGCGTACATATAAAGCTGTGAAAGATCACAATAATAAATCGGGGAATGCGACGAGAACATGGCCGTATTTTTCTGTAATATATTTGTTTGTTGTTGATTTATTAGGAAATAAACCGTTTATGTCACCTGTAACAACTGCATCATCTACCGGTAAAAAAACATGATCAGAATCAGAGTACAACACATCTAGCGATGAAATACAAAAATGCAGTAAGTTATTAAATTTGATGTTATTATTTAAATTAGTTTAATTTACTGTTATATTATTTGTTATATATTATTTGCTTTATTTAGAGAAAAACCGACAAACATATGATGTGGAATATATAGTCGGATAACTAACAGGAATGAGAGATAAAACAGAACTTATGATGGAAAGAAGACATCAAGAAAATCTGATTTTGATCTGAAGATTCGCCAACAAATGTTATTATTTAAAGAATTGATTGATATTTTTAAAAAGCCTTAATTGTTCTTTAACATTTTTATGTATTTAAGTTTGTTTCAGTTAAGAAAATTAAATTAATGATATGGATGTTATGGACAAATCAGGGAGAGATACTTTGTATAAGTTTTAAGAATACCAAAGTTTATATTATATTTAAGTTACAAGTTGTCCAAGAGAAATCTTAATTGTTTAAAATTTGTATGCATTTAAGTTTGTTTGAGGTAAGAAAATTAAGTTAATGTATAATAATACGGATATTACATTTTGTTCAGTTATATTTTATATATTTCGCATCATTAAGTTATTACAAATAACATCTCGTTTAAGATGGCCTGCTATTCTATAGGCGTTTCTATTTGCGCATTCAATCGAATGTATATTACAATTGTTTTCTATGACTTCCAAATTTGTGACTGTAAATTCGTCATCCCTTAATAAACAAATATTATGCAAGACACAACATGCCAAAATAAAATCTGGTATGCAATCTATACGGTCCATATCAAGAATAGTAAGTAAACTGCGGAATCTTCCTTTCAATAATCCGAATGCTCGTTCGATTGTTGTTCTAGCAGATGAGTGACAGAAGTTATAATTTTTTTGTCTATCGGTTAGGTGTCCATTATCTTGATATGGTGTCATCACATGATTATGGAGGGAATAAGCAGCGTCGGCTACTATATTAATTATATTATTGATTACTGATACTGATTGCGATTTACTAAATATATTCAGTTTACTGACTCCAAATTGAGTCACACTTTCTCTCTTTGTTTTTTGTTTGCCTTATAAAGAAGAGAGCGAGTCAATATCTGACTTAATTGTATGATTATGACTATGATGTGGAAACTTCTCTGGATCTTGTATAAATTCAGATACTTCGGATAAACGAAATACTCGTTGGTCATGGACAGAGCCGACGTGTCCAGCGAGACAATGAATAAATCGTAATTCGTGGTCACAGATAGCCTAAAAAGAAATACACAAAATCAAAATTCTATTTTATACTAATATTTTATATAGTATAACTATATAAAATATATAGTGTTACTATAGTGTAACTATATATAGTGAAACTCTTAATTAGTTTTATAGGAGACATCTGTATATACTAATTAAAACAATATAAATTACTTGTAATTGTATAGAATGATGGCCTTTCCTATTAATATAACATTCAGGATTGATACTTAGTGCTTTTATATTAATATGTGTGCCATCAAGCGAACCTATTACTTTAGAAAAACCACTAAGCATAGCAAATCCTTTGAAAACTTCTTCTATTCTTTCTTCTTTAGGCCACGTAATAAAAATCGGAGCAAGATGCACGAGTGCCCTTGTAACTCTCCTTACACTTTTTAATGCAGTTGCTCTTCCAATATCAAATTTCTCACAAATAGATCTATATATAAATTACATAAATATAAAATTCTAAAGATTTTTCTCTTTCTCTTTATATGTAACCGCACATACATACACACACACACACACACATATACAGGGTGTTTGATAGCTGATCATGCAGACGAAAGACGGAGATAGATTGGGTGTAGCCGAGAAGAAAAGTCATGTACCATAATGTCCAATTGCCAATAGTTATCGAGTTATTAATTAAAACATGTGAGCCAACGAGCGCGTAGAGAGCGGAGGGCGGCCGCAGTAAGCACGTAGACATTTGATACAGGCGGAGTCAGCGAGTGACGATAGGCGAGCGCGCGCGGCGAGGGGCAACGTAAACAACAAGAGGCGAACGCGCGTGACGAGGAGCGAGCGAGCGCGAACGACGAAGAGAGAGCGAGCGCAAGCGACAAAAGGCAAGCGAGCGCGACGAAGAGCGAGCGAGCGCGAAGGACGAGGAGCGAGCGAGCTATAAGGAAAAGGCTATAAAGAAAAAGCTCTCGCTCGTTCCTCATCGCGCGCGCTCGCCTCTTGTCGCTTACGTTGCCCCTCGCCACGCGCGCTTGCCTACCGTCACTCGCTGACTCCGCCTGCATAAAATGTCTACGTGCTTACTGCGGCCGCCCTCCGCTCTCTACGCGCTCGTTGGCTCCCATGTTTTAATTAATAACTCGGTAACTATTGCCAATTTGACATTATGGTACATGACTTTTCTTCTCGGCTACACCCAATCTATCTCCATCTTTCGTCTGCATGATCAGCTATCAAACACCCTGTATAATAATAATAAATATACTGTATTTTTATATTTTTTTAAATATGTATGCTGCCTGGGATTGTTCTTTTGGAATGGATTTTGGATTGCATTGGAATATTTTTCTATTATATATATATCATAAATTTTATAAATAAAATATACCTTAGTGAAAATTAATAATATAACAAGTGTACATTGTATATTTTGAATGTAACTAATTTATAATATTTTTTAAACTTGGAAGAAATAAAATAATTATTTAAAAATGTATTTGTTAAAAAATTATTTCATATACCTAAAATGTGATTTAAATTGTTCCTCGTTGTATGCTGATATAATTTCTTCAACATAATTTTTTAGTCGTATGATCAGCAATCGGATTTTTAATTAAAGGTAAAATGAGAAATATATTTTCTAATTCCTCATTGTAATTTTTTTCTTCGTTATCCAAAATATCTAACAAAAGTAAGTTTTCAGCAAATAAGGTTAATATTTGTTTATGTTTGTCTTCCATATTTACGCTTATATTTACTTATTCCTTCAAAGCGAACGATTTTAATTGTTTCAAAGTGAGCGCTTAGAAGCCAAACGGAACGATTGAAAATAGCGCTCATAAGCGTAAGCGCTTACAGCGCGTGAGCGCTCAAAGCGAACGTAGCCATAGTGTCGCCTCGCCGAGTAAGAAAGAAAGTGACTTTCGCTCCTTCTCGTTCCGACTGAACAGCATTAACCCATTTGCATTCGCAAGCGGAATAATCCGCACATAATGATCATTATGTATCATTAACCGCTGAATATTCCGCGACCCATGATATTCACTTATTACCAACCGCGGAGTAATATGTTCACAACGACATTCTCTTTTCGCCAATGATATGCATTAATGCACGGTGGTACAAGCCGACTGTCAGTTGAATATCTCCGACTTCTAAAGTTAGTTATGTATTTAGAGCTGTGATGCAAATGGGTTAAGGTCATTTTACAATACGTGTCGTAAGTTGTAAGTCGTAAGAACTGACCAATTATAGCCGATTATTTTTGTAATAACCGACTGTGATTCGCCAATTCTTACGGCTTATAACTTACGATACGTATTATAGAATAACTGTTAAAGGTCATTCTACAATACGTGTCGTAACTTTTAAAGGTCATTCTACAATAACCTTTAAAGGTCATTCTATAATATGTGTCGTAAGTTGTAAGCCGTAAGAACTGACCAATAATAGCCGATTATTTTTGTAATAATCGATGTGATTCGTCAATTTTTATGGCTTACAACTTACGACCAGTGATGCCAGAAACGCAATCCGGTAGCGCAGTATAGCGCGTGAGGGCTGAGGGCACACAACGAGCGAATCCGTGTCCGTGAGCGTTCGGTGCTTCGGCCAGCATCGGGCTTTAGACAAGAACATACGACGTCTCTGTCTTCGCCGAGCGACACATACAACGTGTCCCAAAAGTAACGGACCACCCTAATAACTCTTCAGTATTGAAGTTTCAAGGAAAATGATCTGAATAAAAGGTGTAGGAATTTAAGTGAACTACCTCATGATGACCTTGACTTTGATCTTAACATCTATTTTCAAGATCATTTGAAGGTCAACTTGCGTTTTCTAAACAAGCACCCTTATTTTTTATTACAGTGCTTTTTCTACTAGTTAATTTGAACAATTTTTGTCTAAAACATTTTTTTATTTGCCTAATATTTTTTTAGGTACTTGAGGAAGACTTGATAACTTTTTCAATATTAAACTTATGATATCTCGCTAACTATTTGTCGGAAGAAAAAATGGTACTAGACTTTTTTACTCTATTTACTCTCAAGAATATATTTTGACAATAGCGCCCTGACTTTTGTTAACTTACTGACTTTTGAAAATTTCAAAATCATCAAATTAACAAAAATTAAGGCACTATTGTAACAATATATTCTTGAAATTAACCCTTTGCGGTCGGAGCCGTCCGACGACCGAGCGTCTGTCTCAAATTTCTTTCAAAGGAAACTTGACTCTTTAGTCTACTATACCCATGCATATGTTATACAGGGTCATCGAAAAGTATCGGACCCCCCTAATATCTTCAGTTAGAATGCATTTTGGAGAAAATGTCCAATAACAAAGTTGTATGGTTTCAAGCGGGGAGAAAGATGATGACCTTGACTTTGACCTTGACCATGTCCTTCAAGATCATTTTAAGGTCAACCTTATTTTTTTAATGGAACTCCCAACGTTTTATTACATATTCTTATAGCTTATCTCGAGAGCTTTCCAAAACACTGTAGTAAAACATTTTTTCATTAAGTACTTTTTGAGTTATAAAGGTTTGAAGTTAACAATTTTTTGACACAAAATGTAAAATATCTTGTAAAATATTATTTAGTTTTCAGTAATCATAACCTTAATACTTTTGTGCGCGAAATAATGAGACCAATTAATTGGTTTAAAGAAAATACATTAATCGAAAAGTATCGGCTCCCCCTAATATTTTCAGTAAGAATGCATTTTGGAAAAATGTTCAATAGCAAAGTTGTACGGCTTCAAGCGGTTATGCTAGTAAGCTATGACGGAAAACTGCCCGAAGGTGATCGCGAGAAGCTGCTCGAATGCATGATGTCCGAAGGCGTTAGAGGAAATCTGCCCGAAAGCGTTGGCGGGGCCGATCTTTATTGTCTCACTCTCGCAAGCACCAATAGTAATATAAGCTCTTGGAGCAAACAATGCGGATCACTGATTTGAATCTTTGATGCAGTGCTGTCTTCTTTTTAGCGAGCAGCAGTCACCTCGTGGACGAAAACGAACAACCCCAAAAATTGTTTCTGTAACAAAAGAAGCTATTGCGCTTCAATTGATTGTCCCAAACATCTTCATTTTGTTTCCAATAACCCAGAATTTTTTCGTAAACATTATTAATTGATCTATTAGATTTTCAGTTGCTCAACGAGCTTTTTGCTAGTGCTGGTTGAAATAAACAAATTGAGTTGGACCAACACTTAATAATTAGTATTTTTCTCTACTTAATTATTTAGATCAATCTCCTATCACTTACCTGATTAATTCTTCTTTGCTCTAATTAAGAATGGCGGAGCTTTTTGAAAGAAATCGAATAACACTGTTAATGATGCGAGGATAGGGAGATCAACAAAGAGAGTATAAAACAGTAACGCGATTATTTAATGAAAATTTTCGGAATGAAAATAATAGGATCTTCAAAAGTACTGTAATCCGTATTATTCAACGTTTCGAGGACATTGGTAGCGTTAAAAGCCGCTCAAGCTCTGGTAGACGTAAAACAGCAACAAATAATGATAAGGCATTAGATGTTTTACAGTCTTCCGTTGAAAGTCTCCACATTTCCATCAATCGCGTTGCACAAGAACACGAAATCGGTCATGCATCTGTCAGTAAAATTCTGAAATTGAATAAATGGCATCCATACAAACTCCATTTGGTCCAAGAGTTGTCTGAAGACGATTTTGATAGACGCATCAAATTTTGTGATCTTATGATGGAGATGATTGTCGACGATCCTCAATTACTTAATAATATTGTTTTCTCTGGTGAGGCAACATTTGAACTGACTGGAAATGTAAATAGACACAATTGTAGATACTGGAGTGACGTTAATCCTCACTGGAAAAAAGACAATCATACCCAATATCCATAAAAAGTTAACGTATGAGCTGGTATTCTTAATGGTAGACCAGTTGGCTCTTTCTTCATTGAAGGCAATTTAACGGCACAAGTACACACAGTCATGCTTCGCGAACAAATTGTTCCAGCTATTCGAGACATAGCTGGTGGAAATATGGATGAAATTTATTTCCAACAGGATGGAGCTCCACCTCATTATGGTGTCATTGTCCGTCAATATTTGAATGAGGTCTTTTAGGACAGGTGGATAAGGCGAAGGGGTCATATTGAGTGGTCACCTCGGTCTCCGGACTTGACTCCACTTGACTTTTTTTTGTGGGGTTACTTGAAAAGTAAAGTTTATGCCACCAAGCCTCAAGATTTAGATGGTTTAAGAGGGAGAATAACTCGAGAGATAGAACTAATACCGCCGGAAACGTTCCGGAATGCGGTTTCAGCTGTTTATAACAGATTGGCACATGGTCAGGCTGTTGAAGGGCAACAATTTGAACATTTGTTGTGAATTGTTTGGTACAATTGAATATTTTGCCCAAGCTGACCAATTGGAATGAAATTCGCCTTAACTGGTCGGAATCACACACCACTCTTGCCTTAACTGGCCG